ATATATATACATATATATATATATATATATATATATTATATATATATATATATATATATATATTATATATACCCGAGAGAAAACTGCTGGAGGGAATAACACCAAAACGATATCCTATGACCTTTATCCATCATATAACTCATCCAGATACCCAATAATTCATTTCGTGCCATAGGTGCCCAGGTGGCACTTGTTGCTGTGATGACACCTGGGATTCCTAGAGTTGAAAACCTTCCATTTATGCTTATTTACACCTTTACTAGTAACATTTTCCTTAAAGGATAAATAAATACATAATATGAAACAAAACATTTTATTTTCAATGATTGCGTACCTGCAATGTACAATTACAGCAATTAAAGAACAATACTTCTGTAAGATAGCAGAAGAATGCATATATAATTTGTAAAAATAAATACATTTTCTTTCTGTAAAATGTATAGAAAATATTTATTTTCAGTTACTGTATACCTGCAATTCTTCATTAAGGCAAACAAGAAATTCTTCCATAAAATAGTAGAAAAATACTTAATTAATTAGAAAAAATGTATCTTTCCCTGAAAATGTATATAAATAGATTCATTGAATTATGAGTAAAAATAGTAAGCCTACTCTTTAGTTCAAGACTAGAATAAATTGCAGCACCTCTATAGGAAAATAAATCTTTCATGAATTATTCTCTGGTTCAAGACTAAAAAAAATATCACTTCTATAGAATAATCCTATGCAAAATAATTGTTTTGATGAGGAACATATGCACCATACTTAAAAAACAGAAAGCAAATATATCACTTATACATGAAACTCAAGAACAGTTTCTCTTTGCATAGTTGCAGAGAAATACATTACACTGAGAGCACAATGTTCGTGTTCTATTCTTACATCCTTCTCTGCGACATCTGCGGAAAGAGTTCTTACCATCAATGACTATTGGGAGATGAGATGCACCTTTCTTTCTTTCAGCCCTGTTTGGCAGAGGAGTCAAGCCCTGTTTAGCTGCCTTTAGAGGAGGCTCAGTCTCTGAATCAATACAGTCTACTGAAGAGAGACTTGCATCAGAAATACTCTGACTGTCAGTGGCATGGTCAAAGAAATCACCTGACATTAACTGGTCTGCCAAGATTAATTTGAAGTCTAGATATTGTTTGGGTTTTGACTCCATATCCTTTCTGTATTCCAGCCAACAGTTGGCAGTTACAACATCAAGTAATGCAATACCACCCTAACAGTCCACTTCTTAGTGCGATTGGGGCTTCTGTAATAGCTGACTATTTGGTCATGAACATCCACACCCCCCATGGCACTGTTGTACTCCCTTACCACACGGGGCCTCTTTACACCAACATGGGTATTGGTAGCCTTAGACCACCGCTGGCATATATCTTCGTCATCAATAGAGAACTCATTGGAAGCCATTAGTACCAACTTTTTGTCATACCAAGCAGTCACAGCCACCTTGTTATCATTTCGGACTTGGCAATCAGATGCCCCTCTGCCCTCTTTGCGCAAGCCTCAGTCTTTAATTTTGCTTAGCCTCTTTAGGTACCATGTTTTTCTTAATTGTGCCTGTTCCTCGAAGGCCTCTGTCATACAGATCACACAAAAGTTTGAGCTTGTAAAAAATCTATCAAAAAAGATACTTGTGCCAGCATCCACACTGCGCACAAACCTTAATACTGCTGCTTCACCAGTTGTGAGGGTTCTGTCAGGTTTAACATTCAGCTTTTCAATAATGGATAGCAATGCTTCTTTAGTTTGAAAAATTTCAAAATCGAGTACCATTCCACTTGGAGAAGCTAGGACAAACATTTTTAACCCGTGGGAAAGGTTTGCCAGGGACATGTTGCCTGATACTGATTCTACCTCGAAAAGGAATCATGCTTTCATCAATACTGACCTTCGATGGCCTTGGCAACTCGCTGCAACGAGTTCGTACTGCTTCCAACAAAGGTCTTACTTTCCATAACCTGTCACTTTTTTTGTCGTCTTCCAATACAGTGTTATCATTAATAACCTTTAAGGAATGTCTGAGACGGAAAAATCTGTCTCTTGCCATTTTATCAGCTATCCAAGGGATCCTAGTTTTTGACTGCCAATACATTCTAATTCTTGGCATCTTTATGATTGACATAGCAAATGTCATTCCTATGAAAGTGGCAATTTCTTTGCTGTTTGTGTTAATACATGCACCTGTAGTTTCAATTGATTTCATATTTGTATACATTGCAATATCTCCCAAAAAATCCTCACTGACATAAGATAGGAAATACTCAATTGGTTTCAGTAAGTTACAAGCTCCTAAATTTTCTGTTGCATTCTGAGGAGCATGGTCTACGAAAGATTTATTTCGTAGGTAAAACAATCTTCTTGGCTCCCCAGCAGTTGAAGATACAGATATCTCCTGGAGATCCTCTTCAGAATCCGAGTCCGAAGAAGTGACAGCTTCTTCAACTCCAATTAGTCTCCCAGATGACATCACTGCCTCGGGTAGCCAGTCATCATCACTCTCACTGAAGTCACTTTCATCAAGGAGATCCAGAAAAGACCTAGTCTGTGATTTGCCATCTCCTGTATGGGAGTAGTTGCTCCCTGTAACAATATAATAGTCTGACAACCTGTGAATAATGTTTCTCAAATAAGTCTATCAGTATTAGATTTCATACAACAAAAACAAATATTTTAATAGTATCACAAATTTATTGCAGGTATTTAAAACAATGGAACATGCATGATATCCCACCAGGTGAGGAGGTTGACTCACCAGCCTCTTGAGATGTACTTGTGGGGTCATCATGCTTCCTGACAACTGATGGTTTGTCACCTGCAAAAGTAATAATTTTTTATTAAATGTTATAGTTACCCCTTTCACACATTCCTGTAAGACCTAAGTGTCACAAGGATGATCGGTGTAATCGTAGGTCACATTCAACATCTATTTTTTCCCATTAATAAATAACAAATTTTGACAAAACTGTCGGGAAAATGCCCCAAGACTTTCATTATTATATCAGCATTGGAATTTCCGTCAATAAGCAACAAATATCAAAGTATTTAACAAAAATCCAAAAAGTAGACGAAATTTCAGTCGGAAAAGTCCCGAGAGCACTTAGATGATACACTTTTATTTTGCTTGTTTTTGCTAATTTTACACCATTATTTAAACACGTCAAGCACTTACAATGATGGACTAAGGTTTAAAGTTCAATAAAATAAGCATGTTAAACTTCTACACAAACTGTACGAAGAAAAAAAGGAATATTTACCAGAGCTTGTGGATCTCAGTTTCCGCGGCATATTTGTTGTCCTCTTGCCAGCTGTGTTGGCTTCTGAGAGGTTTCTAAACCAATCAGAAAGCAAGACGCAATCACTGACGTCACTATGACGAGCGGCAAAGTCCTCTTCCTCGCGCGTAAAGTTCAAAAATCGCTAGAGAAGTTGCGTAAATCAGGATGGCTACCGGTCTCAATATATATATATATATATATATATATATATATATATATATATATATATATATATATATATATATATATATATATATATATATATATATATATATATATATATATATATATATATATATATATATATATATATATATATATATATATATATATATATATATATATATATATATATATATATATATATATATATATATATGTATGTATGTATGTATGCATGTATATATATATGTATTATACTGTATATAAACATATATACATACATCCAAACATAGATACATTCACAGATATCTACTGTAAATATTTATGCACACACACACACACATATGTTTGGGTGTGTGTCATCACCAATAAGAACCACAATGTGATAGATGTTCACTAATTATTAAATATATTCATATGGAAACGTTGAAATTGACTCAAATTCCCTGCACTTGCGTTTAATGACGTCATGTTTTGTTTGTGATATACATTTCGTTGATGTAGTGATTTGATCCCCAAATGTAATTAAAGGAATTATTAGATACTATTTATTGTCGTACAGTGAATGAAACGTGAGGGGAACGATGAGAGAGAGAGAGAAAGAGAGAGAAGAGAGAAAGAGAGAGAGAGAGAGAAGAGAGAGAGGAGAGAGAGAGAGAGAGAGAGAGAGAGAGAGGAGAGAGAGAGAGAGAGAGAGAGAGAGAGAGACAGACAGAACAGACAGAAGACAGACAGACAGACAGAGAGAGAGAGAGAGAGAGGAGAGAGAGAGAGAGAGAGAGAGAGAGAGAGAGAGAGAGAGAGAGAGAGAGAGAGAGAGAGAGAGAGAGAGAGAGAGAAAGGAAAAGGAGAGACGGAAAGAGAAAAGAAGGAGGAGAGTGAGGTAAGTGAGAGAGAGAGAGAGAGAGAGAGAGAAGAGAGAGAGAGAGAGAGAGAGAGAGAGAGAGAGAGAGGAGAGAGAGAGAGAGAGAGAGAGAGAGAGAGAGAGAGAGAGAGAAAGAGAGAAAGAAAGAAAGAAAGGTAAGAGAGATAGATAGATAGAGAGATAAATATATAGAGAAAGAAAGGAGAAAGAGAGTAGGAGAGAGAGATAGAGGAGAGACAGAGAGAGAAATAAGGAGAGAGAGAGACAGTATGATAGATAGATAGATAGTTAAATAGATAGATAGAGAGAGAACTTCCATACCTTAAACTTCGAATCGCATGCTTAATAGTCCCAACATCACTCTCGTTTTCAAACTTTCGTAAAACATGTAAAGTTTCGCGTCGTAAGTAAGATAATTACAGACAAGTGCATCCTTGATGAGTTGCCACGTAAAGTATTATTTGCCTATTATTTTTTGAGTTTTTTTTAATGAACCTTGGCCAAACAAGAGAAAAATAAATAACTTTGTACCTCGGTATGTTGTCTACTACGTACAGCCAATTAACATTGAAATGCATCCATGAATATCTATACTGCACGGTTAGGAAAGGGTAATTAAAGAAAAAAAAGGACAGAAAAATAACAACAGGCAGCTCCAAAGGGTCAGGTCAGAGATGAATGACATGAGGAGGAGGTCAGGTAGTTGACCCAAGGCCCGCTCTCTCTCAACATCATGATGACCTTTCACCTCTCTAAGGTATGTGTTGTCCTTGTTCAGAAATTTGAATTCGCGAAGAGAATAGTGTGTCAATAAGATTTTCTTTTGTTTCCTTTGATTCTGAATAATCGAAATGGATAGGAATATGTTATAAGGGTTTTTGAAAGTTCATTGTTATAGGTGACCCACACAACCCATATTCACCGTGTATAACTATATACACATTGAAGGCTTTCTACGCCCTCTGCTGTATTTATAACATTACAGTCAGCTAAACGTTTATCAAACTATCTCATCCACCTTTAAATAAAAAGTACAATTTAACAATGCAAAATTTTAATGGAGAAGACGCAATAACGTACAAGAAAAAATACTAAATATTTGTACAGCCTCTACACTGGTAAGCTTTGGCGGTCGATCGCCTATGCTGTACAGTGTAGAATGGTGTTCAATTTAGTACCTATTTAGTAATATATCTTCTATTTAGTAATACATCTTCTATTTAGTAATACATCTTCTATTTAGTAATACATCTTCTATTTAGTAAAACATCCATCTATTAGTATAATCTGCTATTTAGTTATACATCTTCTATTTAGTAATACATCTATTTAGTAATATATCTCGAGCAGTTCTAGTA